TTGGAAAAAAAAGAGATAGGGAGAGCTGCGGTGATGAAGAGAGGAGCAGGTGGACCGAAACTGAGATCCAGGGTTCTGGAGACGGTCGCTGCCCGTGAGAGTGAGATTCAGCGGTCGTTCTTAAGTTAAGCACTATTAGAAACCATCAGTTCAGAGCAGAGCATTGCAGATGTTACGCTTTTCTTCTTTATCGCGAATTGTACCTTATCGCAGCGTAAATTTGAGTGCTGAAACTCTGAGCCACAGACTTCTCTATATAAAGAGAAGTCCATATATAGAGAAGTCTGTGTCTGAACGAATGCAACAATCGAAAAAAATAATCCCATTTCCCTCGTCAAATACACCTAACCAATTCCTTCAACTGGAGCCATTCAGAAATCAGACACTTTAGAGCCAAGTCAGTGAAAGTACGTTCGTTCAGCCATTTTCAAACTACATCATACGTGTTAGTGTGTTGTTTTCGAAATATTCTTGTTATTTCATAGTTGATAGTTGCATGCTCTATCAGATCAGTTCCTCCCGCGGTGCTTTTCTCCCACGGGCCTGGGTCAGTGTCCGTCTCCCCTGTCACTCCCCCGCGCCCTCTCAGCCGAACGCCCGGTGCCGCCGCTCTCCCCCTGGACTGGACACCGCGGGGCGGTCGGCTCGGCCATAAATCCGCGACAAACGGCCGACAAACAATAATAGACCGGGCCGCGACAGCCGCGCCGAGTGCGGACCGGTGCCCCTGAGCCCGGCGCGTCGTCCCCCATGTCCGCTGAATGGCACCCCGCCGTGGGCGCGGCCGCTTACAAATCCGCCGGCCGCCGCCCGGCACCGGCCGGCCGTGTGACAAACAGGCCCCGAACGGCGCGACAATGAGCGCCCGGCGGGAGGGGCGCCGGCGGCCGGCCCGATCGGCTCAGCACCGACCGGCAGCCGCGGTCCGCCGATCGGGTCCTCGCCGCCTCGTTAGGCATTCCTCCGCCAACCGAGCGCTCCTCGTCTGCGAGAAATTCCGCGGCCACTTGATCACAGGCGAGGCGCGTCGGCTTTGTGCGGCAGCGCGGCCGCCGGCGCGCCGCTCTGCTCCCCGCCGGCGCGCCGCTCTGCTCCCCGCCGGCGCGCCGCTCTGCTCCCCGCCGGTACGTCGCTCTGCTCCCCGCCGGTACGCTCTCGGGCGCGGCCTTGGCGGCCGGTCGTGACCGCGTGTCGTGCCAGCTCGGCCTCGGTGAGTACGCCGCGTGTGTGCGTCCGGTCACAGGTGACGGCCTGGGGCAGGGCCGCGGGCGCCGCCCGAGAGGAACACCTCTCAGGAGGGGGACGCCGGCTACCCCGCCGCGCCCGCCAGATGGTCACCGCATTCCACCGAGAAGGGAAGCTAGAGAGTTCCGGGAAGCGTAATACCGGAGAACAACACTCGGCACCATGGCACTTGTCGCGTCCTGAAGCGACATCTTAGTACGGATAGGTATGTCACAGACCACAGTCCGCAGATCCCGGCCCAGCATTCATAAATTAGCTCTACTAAACAGACAGGGCCCTACGTGCTATTCTATACATCACATTTAAGATTGTATCGCTGCCGTGTATAGCCAGCTTAGCTTTATCGGCCTGAAATACGCAGTCATACTTGCCAGGAAAAAGTCCTCAGACGCAAATATAATGTGACTGGGCGGCGGTCAAACCGCCCAGCTCCTGCGCTGCAGCGGAGGCCGACCTTGACTGGCGGCGCCCTGCCTCCGTCTGCTCCCTTTGTGTCTGTCTGAGGTGCACACCGTGCGGGGCACTGCTCGAGATATCTCACGCTGGGCGGCCGCAGCAGCCGCCGGCGGCGCTCCGCCCCGTCCCAGACGGAGCGCGGCCACCAGTGGAGAGCGGCCAGCGGCCGTCCCGAGCCATATCATACCTCAGGAGGGAGGAAGGGAATGGCCAAGATTCTTACAGATAGGAATGGCTGTGGTGGCCGAAGGCGATGCCTACTGCAGCTCAGGAGCCGGCCCCAGGCGGAAGGTGCTTTAGATAACTATGAAAATATGCACAGCCCCGTAACTGATGGAGAGCGTTTTGTCACGCTGCGCGGGTTTGCGTGAATGCGCGCACTTTCGTTATGAATTGTGCAGGGTTAAGCGTCCCTTCTGTAGCAGAGGTAGCAGTGCGGGTGAACTAGGCAGCGGGGCTGCGCCGCCATTAGGCCACGAATTCCCATCGTAATGCAGCGAGACTGGTGTATTTGTTACCCACAGATACCGCCCCAGTACCACCGTCTAAAAATGACCGATTGCGACGACGACAGCCTTGACGAAAGTGCCTCATTTCGTGCTCGTGGACACTGTTGTAACGTTTAACCGCTGAATTGCTTTTGCAACTCTCATTTTCAAGACAAACTTCCCACTTGTATTGTGGTGGTGGAACACATTCGTTTCGGTTACGCACTGGGTTAGAGCTTAAATTTGGTCAAAGGTAAAGTTATTGATCTTGCTAGCCACTATGCAGCATCATTTGGGCATTGAGCGGAATGTCTCCGCCGGGAGTTAAAATGGCATGTGCTTCCAAAAAACTGTGTAGCTCACGGGACCTTTTGTTATGATTTCCGAGTTACCGAACACATAAGTTTCGAGCTACTCTTTGCATCGATAAATTCGGACATCGATGAGTGACGGTAATTGCATCGATCTACTTACTGGTCGATAAATACAACGTTCTACTAACTGGTCGAGTTTCGCGTCTTCTCTGATCTCGTTAGCTCGATGAGTGCTGCCTCCGCCCCCGTTGACTGCTCTCGAGTCTGCTATAGGCATACACCCCGCCGCCGGGGCGCCGCTGGCGAGGGCAGGTGAGGAACACCACAGAATGAGCCACCGTCCCTCCCGGGACCACCTCCCCTCCCCTCCCCTCCCCTCCCCTCCAGGGGCTCCGTGCCGGCGCGTGAGGCACATCGGCTCCCGGTGTGTCACTGGGGATCGGCCGTCTTTGTGGACCTTTATCTGTCGCGCGATCTGCTGTCCAAAGGAAGCGCCGCCCGGTCGTATTATACCGCCCCTATAGCGGTGTCGGTAGTGCGCGTCCGAGGCCACCATGTCGATCGGTAATTTTTCCCAGAAATTGATTCTCCCGGCGGCGACAAAGCGTGGCCTCGCTCCGGCGTCACCCGCCATTGGCACCGAGAGCCAATTCGCCGATGGAGACTAATTGCACACAGACTCTGATCTCGGCAGCGATCCGGCGAGTCAAGGCCGCGGTGAGAGGCCCGGCGCTGCCCCCAGCGGCTCGCTTGTGCCATTTTTCAGCCGCGTATGCGAACAACACCTGCAGCGGCCGGCGGCCGGCGGGCGGCGCTCCATTAATTCGATGTCACGCGCGGGGGCGTCGATTCGCGCCGCGCCGGGGAGCTCCGCCCCAGGCCCCTTCTCTCGATCTGTGCCTCGCCTGCACCCTCCAGGTGCCGATGCTTAAAACCCATTACGCAGATACGTGACTCATTTGGATAGATCAAACTACACTGCCCAATGTTTCAATCGCCAAGATTCGTCATGCAGTGAGCACTTCCGACTCTGACGGCCAACAACTACATAGTGGCTTTATACAGGCGCACCGGACAACAGCAGCATGCTAATTGGAGCCAAGCAACACAAGCTCTCACTCCAAACATTGACACGCAGCTTGGAAAAACTTATGGCACGTTATTATAGCCTTCGTCGGACGTAGAGTAGCACCAGATACTGCAACGGGCAAAGAAGGGTAGCACCAGAGACTTCAACAGGCAAAGAAGAATATCACCAGAGACTGCAACGGGCAAAGAAGAATTTCACCAGAGATTGCAGCGGGGAAAGAAGGTTAGCACCAGAGACTTCAACGGGCAAAGCAGGATAGCATTATAGACTGCAACGACCAAAGAAGAATATCACCATAGACTGCAACGGGCAAAGAAGGGTAACACCAGAGACTGCAACGGGCAAAGAAGGGCAGCGCCAGAGACTGCAACGGTCAAAGAAGGGTAACACCAGAGATTGCAACGAGTAAAGAAGGGTAACACCGGAGATTGCAACGGGCAAAGAAGGGTAGCACCAGAGACTGCAACGGGCAAAGAAGGGCTCACACGTTCAAAAGAAGAAGGGCCCACGCGGGAGATTCCGACGGTCGGTAGCGCTGCAGATTACTATGAAAAGTCAAAACTGATATCAGGCTTGGTACCGTGTGAGAACTGATACGTTATGGATAACTGAAAATATTAGGGAATGGTCAGAAAGGACGCTGCTGTCTTTTGCTCAGGCTTGCACACTGCCCCAACAGACGATATTTATATCCTTTTTTGAGTATGTCCAGATCATAAGTTTACGAGGGATCTGATTGTGTCATTTTTTGAATCCAGAAAGTCATTTTTTATATATTTTCAGTGTTTATTTTTTATTTTTAGTGGTAGCGAGCGACCGAGGCTAAGTAGTAATAAGCAAGCGAAGAGAAATAGCATATAACGCATTAAATTAAATTCTTAGGGAGTGGTGCTTCCAAATGCGATGAACAGAACATCTTTCATTAACAACAGATTCTGTTCTCACAGCAGGATGTTAACTAATTGTATCGGTGCTCTCATAAAGTTACATTCGAACTATACATAGGCACATAATTTCACGCATAAACATCCTCGATTTATCTTATCACCCATCCCTCTGACCAACCACGCACTCTCCGGTGAAGCATTGTTCTGTTCTGCACTCTGCGTTCGAGCTGAGTGCGGACCGGTGCCGCCCCGCGGGCAGGAATGCGCCTGATGAGCGGACGGCCGCGCCTGATAGTAGCTAACTGCCCTGCTGCTGCCCCAGGGCCCGGGAGGAGCGTGCCAGCGTCGCCGTTCGACGCTGATGTGTACGGGATATACCTTATTGAAAGCCTTGTATGTACGGACCTGCGCTGCCTCGTGGTGCGTCCCGCGTCATTTAGCCATGCCGTTCTCCATTGCAGGTCTGCGCCCTGCGCTCTGTCGTCCCACGTCTTTCAGCCCGCTGTTCTCCGTATTTCAGGCCTGCTGGTGTGGGCGGCCGGTGCGCAGGAGGCGGCCACGGTGGTGGATGTAGCCGATGGAGGGGACGCGGTGCTCCGGTGCCGGTTCGACCCGGCCCTGGTGGGCCCTAATGAGGCCTCGTTCGACTGGAGCCACCGCAGTGGCGTCTGGGACAACGTGGCCATCGAGGGCAAGTCCTTCAGGAAACGATACCGGTGAGGAGCGGCAACAACGGGGCAGGGCAGGGGCCGGGCCCGGGGTCAAGTTAGGGGGCTCAGGGTTCGGGGGATGTTACCAGGTCAGGTTGAAGGGCGGTCGGTGCTGTGTACCGCGGGACCAATAATTTCTTGAATAGTTAGATGACTTACGAATGTGCCGAATGTGCCTTTGGCTTCCCTTTTTATTTAGCTGCTTTACTGCAGCGGGCCAGGTCACTGACCTATAGCTAACCCGAGTTCGGCAATGTCGTGTCGTGAGAAGGGTGGGGTGTTCAGTTAAACATCGTCCCGCCTTTGTGGTCGGTTGTACGCACGATAGACTCAGTCAGGTGCTGCTGTCGTGACCTAGGTTTTGGCTGGTGCTCTTAAAATCCTGGCTATATCTAATGCCCACGACTACACAGTATACGAGCCGCACGTATTTGGGAAGCAAAAACAGTCCACGATGGGGAGGGAGCGTTATCCGCGCCAGAAGCTGGTGTTCGGTGACACCAGCAAGCCTTTTGACTGATTTGCAAACGCTGCTAGTTGAACCTTACACAACAATAACATTAGGTGTAAACGGTGAAGCTTCACTCATATTTTTAGAAGATGATATCGTGACGTTTGACCACTCTTTGGCAATGTTTATTCCGTTCAGCATTTCAGTATCCTGCAGATAGGTAAGCTCTTACTTTTTCGGAAACTATCATGCCTAAGTTGTCTTCATCACAGTCTACTTATTAACGACTTCGTTTGACTCACGTCTGTCTGTCTCTGCGTTATTCCAGGGTCGAGTTCTCGCCGTCGGAGGGCCGCTATGAACTGCACATCAGCGGCGCCTCATACGACGGCGACAACGGCCAGTTCGCGTGCCGCGCGCGCCGCTCCGGCTCCGGCCGGGTTCTGCTCGCCGAGACATTCAACGTGACGGTGCTGCTGCGGCCGGGCGCCCCCGAGGTGCGCCGGCCGCCGCTGCTGGTCGAGGGCGCGCCCGCCGAGCTGGTGTGCGCCTCGGTGGGCGGCAGCCCGGCGCCCGAGCTGCGCTGGTACCGGCGCGGTCAGAGCAGCCCGCTGCCGGCCGAACTGGTGCCGGGCCGGCGCCGCTCGGAGCCCACCGAGGCACGCCTGACGCTGACACCGCGCAGACGAGACGACGGGGAACAGCTGGAGTGTGTCGCCTGGAACCGGGCCATGGAGGCGGGCGAGCGGCTGACCATCGCCGTCCAGCTCAGCGTCCAATGTGAGTATAGATTGCACTGCGGCACGGGGTGGGGCTGGGGGACAGGGAACGGCTGCTAAAGCTAACCAGTGAAGGGAGTCGATTTATGGTCAAATAACCGAAGGCATGGGTGGGATGAACTTGAATATACGTCATTCTCATGTAGACAAAAAACATGCTCAGTTGTCTTATATGTAGGCCGTAAGCAAACACGGTCGAATATATACATACTACAGCCGTCGCACTGGGTTTTCCGCTGGCGTATCCGGACCCTGACCCTTTATTGTCCTTTTTTCTCGGCACGCCCAGACCAGGCTATACCAGGCGAGACTGTGTCTATGGACGACTGACGGGCCGTCCTCGCCCTCCGTTTTCCCCTATGTCCTGGGCCAGTCTGATTGACATTAGCTCGATCGACGACGAAGGGCTGCCCCGCCCCCCGGGCCTTCGATCGCCATAAACCATAGCTCGCTTCGCCGCGCCGCGGTGGGAGGGCGGACCTCAAAAGACATTCGATACATTTTCGTAGCAGCAGGCTGGCACGCGATTCAGGGGAGCGCGGAATGTGATACCTCTGGGACGCGCCTGAGGAGGGGCGGCCTCTAACCGACTGCCACGCGGTCTCAGCGATCGTCCCGAACCATCCTCTCACGCTGGTGTTGAGGCGCTGCGGACCGGTATACCAAGCCGCCCGCGGTCGGCCCGCCGGCACCGAGACGCGCCAGAGGCGGTCCGACTCGGAGAGCAAATTACCGGCGATGACTTTACGGTACTGGAGCGAGCGGCCGAGATCGACGCCGAACGTAATCACAGTTTCACGGTTTCCGATACGCCCTCGGGTTGATGGCCGACTCAGAATGCGCGACCTCGTTTGTCTGCGACCTGTGGCGCGTCGCCGATTCTCTGTTTGTCGGTCTGGCGCGGGGTGGATGGACCCTGGGAAAAGCACCTGCCGCATCCGTATCAATCCGCTCTTTTGTACTGAATCACGTTTTATTTGCATCGGTCGCATCGTCGTTTATATGGCTTTTTATGTTTTGCACGAAATCCACCGCCATGGGATGTTTAGTTTCTGTGACCCGTGATTCTGTTCTGTTCAGTCTAAGTGTAGCCACTGACCAGTTCCTGTCCCGTTCGATGTTGATGTGTGTATACTGACCACCCCGTCCCCTCTGCACAGACTACCCCCGTATCACGGTCGGACCTTCCAATCCACTGCGGGTCGAGGTCGGACGACCCGCCGAGATGACCTGCCACGTGGACTCGAAGCCGGCCGTGGGTAACGTGCGCTGGCTGCGTAGTGGCGCCTTCGTCAACACCAACGGTACACACCGCGTAGAGGCCGTGCAGCCGTCCGACGCCGGTCTGTACACGTGCAGCGCCGAGAACTCTGTAGGTCAGCGCTCGACCGAGCTGCGGCTGGACGTGCTGTACGCCCCGCAGGTCACAGCCGAGTCGGAGCGCGTGCTCGAGCAGGGTGACAGCGCTCAGCTGCGGTGCCACGTGGACGCTAACCCGCCGGCCGAGCGCGTGTACTGGTTGAGGGAGGGTGACCCCGAGTTCCGCCAGGACGGCCCAGTGCTACGGCTGACGCGGGTCTCGGCTGGAGACGGAGGCCGCTTCACTTGTGTGGCAGTGAACCGGGTGCGCAGTGTGGACATGGCGCAGGCTGAGGAGCGCTCTGGGAACGCCAGCAGCCTGGTGCTGGTACGCCACGCGCCCGGGCCGGCGGTCGTGCTGCCACTCGAGCCGGTGGGCGTGGAGGGCCGGGCGCTGACGCTCACCTGTGCCGCCTCTCCGCCTGGCTACCCGGAGCCGCGCTACCGCTGGTGGCGCCGGGACCGGCCCGACGCGCCGCTGGGCTCAGAGCAGAACCTGACAGTGACCAGTGTGCAGCCGCGCCACGGCGGACACTACGTCTGCCGGGCGGAGAACGAGCTGGGCGGCGGCGCGGCCGGCTCGGCAGAGGTGCGCGTGCTGCGCGCGCCGCGGCTCACCGGACGGCTGGAGCGGCAGCTGAGTCGTCCGACGGACACGGCGGCGCTGGGCGTGCAGTGCGCCGCGCAGGGCCGACCGCGGCCCGCCGTGCTCTGGCTGAAAGACGGCCTGGAACTGCAGACGGCCGATGGCAGGTACGACGTCACCATCGATGAGACGGAGCGCGCCGACGGGGCGTTCGCCGTGCGCTCGACGCTCAACTTCCGCGGCTGGGCGCGTCAGGAGGATCACCTGACGGCCGCCGACCGCGGCAACTACACGTGCCGCTTCGAGAACGCGGCCGGCGCCGCCGAGTCGACCATGCTGCTGCGTGTCAGACGTGAGTAACAAGCCGCACACCGGGGGTGATGGGACTGGCACCAGGCGGTCCGATCGACAACCCATTCATAGCTGGTCATACTGTGTTTCATTCCGTGATAGTAGCTATGATTTCCTCGTCTATCCGTCATTATATGCGGCTGCTTCTAGTCGCTCTGCTCGGTGGTCTCCAGCGCCAAGATGTGTCTGGCCGTGTGTGGCCCCGTGTCTGAGCTGACCACTCTCTCCTCCGACAGACGCGCCCATTGTCTACCACCGGTACAACAAGGCGGCGTTCGACGTGGGCCAGGAGGCGGCGCTCGTCTGTCAGATGCAGGCATTCCCGGCGCCCGAGTTCCGCTGGTGGCGCCGCGCCGCCGGCGAGCTCGCCCCCATGGCCGGTGTCACCTCGACCTCACTCGGAAACGACGTGCACCAGTCGGAACTGCGGCTGCCAGCCGTCTCCGCCGCCGACTACGGCGAGTATGTATGTCAGGCGCAGAACGGCGAGGGCGAGCATAGCACCGTGCTGCGTCTGCAGGCGCGTGGCCGGCCCGAGGCGCCCACTGACGTGCGCGCCGCCGAGCTGGGCACCTCGTGGGCGCTGCTGGACTGGACGCCGGGCTTCGACGGCGGGTTCGCAGACACGATCCACCACGTGACGCTGCGGGACGAGCGGGACCGCGAGCGAGTCGTCGACTGTCAGAGCCGGCGGCCGTGCAACGTGACGCTGCTGCAGCACCACAGCACCTACCGAGTGCGCGTGAGTAACGGGTTCCGCCGCCGCCAGGCGCGCGGAGGAGGGGAGCGCTTCAGAGCAGACTGGGCTTACGTCCTCATTGCTGTTGACAATCTCATAATGCAGCCACAAAACTTAGCTTTGGACATTGATGATTCTGTGCAGTTCTCTTTATGCATGAGCGAAACTAATCGTAGTTGCGCTGGTCCCTGTTACGGCAAACCTGTGATTATTTTAACATTTTAAATCGCGCAGCTCAGCCACCCAAGCCTAGTCACCTGGTAACCTAGTTATCGTGAATTATCTATGCACACACCCCTCTCCTTGCCCCTGTGGCCCTCTCTCCTGCCCGCTGTGACCCTCTCCCTGCCCCTGTGACCCTCTCTTCTCTGCGCCCTGTGACCCTCTCTCCTCTACCACAGGTGCGCGCTACTAACCGCGAGGGCGACTCTGCGCCCTCGGAGCAGTCACAGTTCACCACTCTGTTGGACGGCTCGCAGCTGCCCACACCGCAGCGGGCCCGGTTCGCTGCTGACGCGCGGCAGATCAGCTTCCACGTGCTCACCTCCCAGCTGGATGTGCTGGGCATGCTGGATGTCAGGTAGGAGAGAAGGGTGGAGGGGAGGGTTAATTTGGGGTATATGACGAGGGGTAAGAAGGTGAAGTAGGTGTCGAGGAATGAGGTTAAAGTGGGGTAGAACAGAAGGTTGGAGGTTGGATTTCAGGAAGTCCAGAACATTTTTGGCTGGTCCGGGCGCTGTGTGATGCGGGCGGGTTTTCCAGAAGACGAGTTAATAACTTTTCTACTAAGGAAATCATGTGAACGTACCTATTTATGTATCAGCTCAAGTATCTCCAGCGTCAATGCGAAAACCATATTCAGTAGTTTATGCGATCTGTACACACGACTGTCTCGCCTGTTCTGTAGCTTACCCTTTTGACCTGTTATAACCTGTGACACCCGGTGATACCGTATGACACCGTATGACACCGTGTGCCAATCTGTGTCGCCGTGTGACGCCCGCCAGGTCGGAGGAGGAGGGCGAATGGCGCCGCGCCGACCAGCAGGTGACCATTGCCAATAACCGCGGGCTGGTCCGACTGGACGACGGCCTGGGGCCCGTGAGTGGCGTCCGCGTGCGCCTCTGTCTGCGAGAGGAGCCCACTGTGTGCGGACAGACTGTGGAGGCCGAGAATGGTGAGGGATGGACGGTCAGCAGCGGCTGGGTGGCACCGGCTGTGTGGTAGGGGCTGGGTGATAGGAGCTGGGTGGCAGCAGCTCAGTGACAGCGACTGAGTATCTTGCCTCACGTACTATTCGGAATCAGTGCGGCATAGTGGTCAGAATACTTTGGGTGGATGGATGGAGCACGGTCGTCCGCTAAAGTACGTCAACTACTGACCCGCCCCTTTCTCGTCGCGCATTTGTCTCAGTGTCCTCACTTTACCGTGTCCGTGTTATTCACGACTCCTTACCAGTCCATGCCGTGTATTCCAGTGTCTTAATCGCTGTTTTTTTCTTTTTAGTGCCGGCCGGCGCGCTGCTGTCGGCGGCCGGCGGCAGTCAGGTGACCACCATCATACTCGCCTCTGTCGCGGCCACGGCAGGCGTGGCGCTGCTCGTACTGCTCTTCATCTGCTGCTGCCGCCGGTCCTCAGGACGGTCCACAGCCTCCTCGGCAGCGGCGGCACGAGCCAAGGCGGCTGCCGCCTACACTGACGACCCCTAGTGAGTGTCTGCTGGGACCGGGGGACTCGGGGACAGTGGGGTCAAACAGGGGTGAGATGGGGTGGGGGCCGGTTTGAAATGTCTCTGTGACCTGGATGGCAGTCTTTGGATATACTAGCTCTGCCTCTGCTGCTTCTGTAATCTGCTGTCTCTCGAGAGGTTTTGTTGAGTAGTTCGACCCTCGCCAGTAGCGTTGATGTGTCTGGGGCTGTCATGACGATCACGTTACCCGTGGTTCGGCTGTGTCTGTCTGCCGATCGCTGTGAGTTGTCTGTGACCGCTAGTGCCGTCTCTAACCCCCCGTCCCGCCGCCAGCAGTCGTCAGAAAGTATCGGCCGGCGCGCCGCCGCACCCCTACCTGTCCGCCGGCCGACTGGACGGTCTACCGGCCGGCGGTCCGCCCCGGCCTGTCCTCTACGAGTCGAGTCACTCCAACGGCAGCTCGGCCGGCGGCGGCTCGGCACACTCTCAGGACTCGCTGTGGCAGGCCACCGAGCCGGGGGTCGGACCCGTCGAGCCGGCCGGCCGCTACCCGCCGTCCTATGGCGACTACGGCGCCGCCTACCGGGAGCTCCAGGAGGCCGTGTACCGGCCCGCCGAGCCGACACATGGTGAGTGGTCCTGGCTTCCCTCCCGCGGGGAGCTGCCCGGCCGGTGGGTGTCTCTGTCTTCCAACAACTTATGGCAGTCCGACCGGCATGATACCTGCTCTTGATTGGACTTGTCATGCCCAAACTAGGCTCGACATCTCTCTCGGCAACAAACATAAACTAGCTGAACAATGAATGTCCTCGATTACCATGCATTTACTGGCCGACTGACTGTGACCTCGACTGCAGTGCCGCTGACCTCTGTCCCCCGTCCCGCAGAGGTGGGTCCGGCCCGCGTGTCGGGCATGCCTGACCCGTACGGCGGCCGTGCAGAGGCCGAAGGTGTACCGCAGCCACCCTCCTTCGACGAGTCACTGGAGAGCGGCCTCTCGACCCCCAGCTCCAGGCCCCGGCGGGTCATACGGGAAATCATAGTGTAGTGGTAGCGCGACAGATGGCAGCAGCGCATCGCTGTGGTCGGCGGGACAACTGCGCGGGTCATACTCAGCTACCTGGAGTCCCCAGCATAGCCCATTGTGATATTGTTTTACCGCTCAAAGTCGAGACCTGACGAGATCACTTGTTATGTTTTACGATGGGGAGTGTTTGTAATGTTATTGTGCCTTTGATAATGTGACATCGTAAGCACGTTAGAAGATGTGACGAGTGTGAGGTTTTCGCTGACCGGTGAGCTCACGCTTAGAGCGAGAATAAGTGCGACGGAAGTGCTTAGCCCCGATCTTGACCTGTGGTGTATGGCGCATAACCCTTGATGTGTCGCATTCGTGTTAAGTATTGCTTTTGTGTTCTGCTTGCAGTATCATATTCGATGCGTTGGTTTTGCAATGCCACTCGACTTCATATGTATATATGCTCATTAGTCTGTATGTGTGTGGCATGTTGAATGTTTCCTTGAATCTCTCGCTTAAAATTAAAGTTTCCTTTGACGGTCTCGTCGCTTTAAAACTTTTTTAACTTGTAATTTTCGTATGCCATTTTCATAATTGTCTCGTATATTTCGTCAAGCCATTTTCTCTATAATATTATGTCTACATCGCTGAACCATTTGCTCATCAGTATTTAATGCCCACTATTTAATCACATCAACTCGTTCCGTTTAATGCATGCAAGGTAAAGGAACTCATCCTCATGCCTTATCTTTGTGTCACCTAATCTGGATTTGAAGTTGTGTCGGTCGTGCTTGCAGGTATGATTTGTTTGTCGGTTTGTGTGGCAGCATACCGTGATGTGAAGAGCCGGGCCTAAACGGCCTAACAGGGCCTAAACGGCCTCGGTTGTCATTTGGACTGGACAGAGCCGTGCTAGCCAAGTCGCAAGTGTCGCAAGGAACTCTGAATACATTTTAATGATAGACATTCGCCGGGACTTTCAAATCAGATTGCCTGTTGGACTAAACTATCCAATATTAAATACTAATTCGACATGTAATTACGTAGTACGTGCGGAGCTGATAGGACGCTCCGAGACCAAGATGCACTCTGATGTCCCGAAGAGGCAGTTTTTTCCCAAAAACCTTACGGTTTAGAGAGTTCGATGTGCCTTGTCCTTGGCACACAGTGCGCGAATTTCGAATTACTGGACACCTTACATCAGACCTGAACCTCCAGCGGGACTTGGAAATGGGAATGGGAATGGGATGTAAGAAACAAACGACGTTGGTAGTCTCTTATCCTCAGATGAAGGAGAATCGCTTGCTTCAAGGAGAATGAAGTAGACTATCTTTCATAGTTTTATTTATGCATTGCATACTATATACTTATCTAAAAATACGAGATAAAATGTGTCAACTATCAAAACGTATGCATAATGCACAGTATAACAACTTGTCATGCATAATGTATGTACAGTATAGCAACTTGTCTATCATTCACCACGTCACACCTTGTACCTTTGCATCTCCAGTGGTTTTCTCGGCGAGGCGAGCAGCTCCCTCACGGCTCACGTATTTACGATAGGTATGTAAGCTTCGGGGAACATTGTTTTCAATCCGAGGCCGTCCCAGGGGTCGCCTGGCTAAGCTGTCACATCATTCTCACATAGATCAACCTAAAAGGAAGACCTGGAGTGTGCGCACGTATGCTCATACGCGCCGTACGCGAGTTTGATTGAGCTGAGACAGAAGTGTCTGCATATCCTCTCTATACATCGTTTGAGTCTGAGCTGTATACTGGCTGGGTCACAAGGAGTTCGGCTTCGCCAGGTTCAGAGCACGTCACAACCGCGTGTTCTCGGTCTGGAAGGTGACCACGGCCGGTGAGGGGGCGGTGGTCCGGCGCCGGCGGGGTCTCCGGGTCGGGGCCGCTCCGGCCGGCCGCCGAGGACTGTGCCGCGCCGCCGCCGCCACCCGCATCAGGCGCAGCAGGTCAGCCACACTGGTGGTGGCGCGGCGCCGGCGCCGACGCGGCGGTGGGTCGCGAGGTGCTCGTTCCGGCCACACGCCCGGCAGCAGGCTGGGCCGGTTCTGCCAGGCGTGCTGCAGTCGCCGGAGGAAGCCGGCGTCGGCTGCCGGCTCCCCCTCCACCGTCGTCGGAGGATCCGGGCTCCACTGCGCCTCCTCGCCGCTGCCACAGTCTTCGGCACCCTCAGCGGCGCCGCCGCCGCCGTCAGCAGCATCGTCGCAAACGACTTGACCGCTGCCTTCGGAGCTGACGTCCCACTCGAGCGTCACCTTGGCCTGGAGGAGCAGCTCGAGGGCGGAGTCGACTGAGGGCACCTGGCTGGCGGGTGCCGGCTCCGCGTCGGGGCCCGGCTCCGGGCTCTGCTCGACCACTGCGGCCAGCACGGCGGCCAGGTCGGTGGCCGACCCGGCGGACAGCGGGGCGGCGGATAGCGGCGCGCTGTCCACGGCACCGTCCCCCTCCCCCAGCGGCACCTCGCTCAGCGACCCGGTCCGCCGCAGAGGCGCCGGCGGCTCCGAGGCAGCAGCATCCTCCGGCGCGTCCCCGCCGCCTGCCGCCAGGTTCGGGAAACTCTGAGTCCGGGCCACGCCGCGAGGTGGCATCGCATTCTGAAACAATGGGGTTTGCTCCTCAAAATCAGCCTCACTGGGATCCACTGTTGGATCAAACAACAAACTGAAGCAAAGGAGGCGGCCCGCTAAGTCTCGCCACCTTGGAGGAACACTCATATACATAGGTGGGCACGATCCGTTCCTCCGTTCCGGAACGCCGTTACAATTTTTAGGAACGGAGGAACGGACTCGTTACATTTTAAAAAGGGTAACGGACCAAGTAACTTCCGTTACATTGGTTGTTCGTTCCTCCGTTACACTTTACAGTTAAGTCCGTTTCTTCGTTCCTCCGTTACTTTTCGTTGTCCGAGCGGGTTGATCTTTCAGCTAACCCACAGACATTAATGCAGCAGCGGAATAGTGGATTATTGAGCAGCCCTGACTTGAAGAAGGAAGATGGCCTCAGTGTACTGACCTTCCGAAATGAGCCGGCGTTGCAGTATGTGTTCGCAAAGTTCAACACGGGCGTCCCTTCAAGCGCCTCAGTAGAACGCATGTTCTCAATGGGAAAAGATGTGCTACGTGCAAAAAGGGCTACCCTCTCAGAAAGTGGCAGCGGAACATCTTCAATTAAGGGAGGGGTGGGGGGGGGGCACTGCCGACTTTTGATCCCATTCTTTTCATGCAACGCACATAGGGCTAATGTTAAAATGCTAAAATCAAAGGAGGGCACTGTGCGCCGGTGCCCCCCCCCCCCCCCCCCGTTCCGCCGCCTATGCTCCCAGATGCCAACCTGGAACGTCTAGTGTTCGTGAAGGGCAACGGGCATCTGGCCGGGGACAAGTGATGCGCATTGCGCATCAGTACCACCAGACGTTCCAAGGTTTAGTGTCCAATCAGTGCCCGCTGTCTTGGCAGATTTGGTGAGCACTCAGCTTTCTCGGTAGGTTTAGTTTGTGTCAGAATGGTCTCAAAAATGTGTGAAATACACAACATTTTAACGTTTTTATTTGGCTGTAACGGAGTAACGGACTAAAGAACTTCCGTTACATTATATGCAGAGGAACGGAGGAACGAGTAACGGAAGTCACGTTTTGAATGAACGGAAGAACGAGTAACGAAGTTACAATTTTGGGGAACGATGCCCACCTATGCTCATATACCTAAGTCGAGTAGGAATGGACTAGGGTGACCCGCGTGCTCCGCAACGCGAAAAGGGTATTTTCGATTGACGGGTGTTTGGTTGTTCTTGTGTCGGTTTGGTTATCTATCCATTTCGGTCGGTTGCTTTTTGATGGCTAAACGATTTGGTTTGGAAAGAATATCCATCGCATCGAGGTGCCCGTGTCTGATAAGCATGCTTTCTACTTCAAAACCTGTCAAATGTGTTTTATAATTTAGGTGCGTAGTTTTATGACAAATGAAAGGCGTAGATAATTTTCGCTAAAAATTGTTTTGCAGAGGTTTGAAACATTTATATTTTTAAGAATACTGTTGCTTGTCATGCAAACGTGATGGTTGGATCTTGGAGAGAATTGAATGCTCTTTCTAATGATAGCATTTTCAATTGTCAAGCGTATCAGGTTAAGCAGCAAATCCCGTGTAACTTTTTAGTGGCACATTATGGACAAATACCATTTAATTCAGCGATTTTTTCCACATTGTTTTTGATCAATTAGCTGTTCACAATTTTTCCATGAGAGGCGGTACATTTCCCTTGCCAATAGGCATTGTTTTAACTCTCTCAGTCTGACGGTCACGTGAAAATAAAATAAAATCCCAAATCCGTCCGAAACGTCAATTTTTCAAACAAAAGTGCCCTCACGGGTGCACGTGGCGCGTGCCATCCACTGCACCGCACACCATTCGATAGCCCGTTCGATTCTCTACACGATGCTGTTTTCCCCGTGACGATCGGGCGCACGGTTACCGAGATATTGCACGGAAACCGGACCCGTGTCGGGCAAATTTAGCCATTTTGCCCGATTTTGCAAGCCGATTTATACATGTAAAGTCTATGACGCGAATTTGCACTTTTTGGGCACGCGCCACGCGCTCGCTATCGATCCGATCGAGCTGAGACCCCTCAAAGGCACGTTGTCCATCCTTGCTCAATGAGTTGCGCAAATTTCAGCGTGCTGGGTGCAACGGTGTGACCTGTAACCCGCGCTACGTAGCACCATGTCGCGACCTCGGTAACAGACAGAAACTTGGACAGAAACTACGTCACCACAAATAGTAATATAGACAAGCGGCTGCGCCACTTGCTTTGCTGCGTGGTAGGAAAAAATTGCGGCACCAGCCAATTTGCTTTCGAATGGTGTTCGTTTCAAATCGATGTGTCGTCTAGAAGCATAGATATGGACGGAAATGTGAAGAGAATTAAAAAAGAACTGTTCTGAGGGTTTTGTTGGATGAAATTTGGCTGATACGGGGTCTAGAAAGGCCAAGGGAGTCAGCCCCGGTCACTTTGGGTCAGGCCAGGTCACATAGGTCACCTCTCGTCCGATGGGATCAGCCCGGGCCACAATTCTACTTTTGCCTCCACACCCCTTCCCCTACCACTACCCCTACCCCTACCTCTACCCCTACCACTACCCCTACCACTACCCCTACCACTACCCCTACCACTACCACTACCCCTACCCCTACCCCTACCACCACATCTACCCCTACCCCTACCAATACTACTACCACTACTAATACCCATACTCCTACCCCTACCACTACCCCTACCACTACCCCTACTCCTACCACTACCCCTACCACTACTACTACTCCTACCACTACCCCTAGCCCTACCCCTACCACTACCCCTACCAACACCGCCGGGTCATGTCAGGTCACAGAATAATTGGATCCAATCAGTACTAAAATATCAGACTTAAAGTGTTCCCAGCCCTGCCCCTATTCATGCCATTCCATTACGCTTAATCGTATTTGTCGGAAATGGCGCTTTGTGGCATATGTGGCGCATTGCGACAAACGCGGCGCATTTTCACCCAGCGATTGAGCATGCATCCTGGCACCAAATTGCACCCATATCGGACTATATTTGACAAAACTGTGCGATTTGCGGCAAAAATGACGCCCTGTGACCAATGTGACGCCTTGCGGCAAACGCGGTGCATTTGCAAACTCGTATCACAAACTGTTCCCATTGAATGAAAATCTATACATTCTATCGCCACTTTTTATTCAAATTAAAACTTGCCTATCCGCCAATGCGAGGCACCCGCTGCCGATCGGCATGCATTTAGTCCACAAAGTTTGTCGACCCCGGCTCTCAATGAAGATCTACGAACCGATTAAAATTTCATTGGCGTTCTTCCGGCGCGCCCCACGCGCGAACCGTGCACCCCAGCGAGTCGGAACCTAGAAAAGGCGCTGACCCGCTCTGTCACCTAG